CTATATGAATGATTATAGATTATGTTCACTCACAACTTTTGCCAAGCACAGTTGACTTTCACATCAACGCGTAAAATTTCAATCACATGAGACAATTCCCAGCCCATACCGAATGCATAAGCCACACGTCGAGAATATCTCTCTGACTACCTAATATATTTGAGACGCTTATTGACACAGTGATATGGGTCATATTACGCACAATGGTGTTTACTTTACAATGGTTGATTGTGGATGATAGCTACGCCTCGTTCCATGTGATAGAGAGATAGGGGAAAGGGGGACAAAGGCGTTCATACCATTTCTGAGATTGTCCGTATTGTATATTAATATAGTATAAACGTAACGGTTAAACTCTAGCGGATGACATTGTTGATGGTGTCGGTGCTGGCGGTGTCACGCGGTTATGTCTTACTGATCGATTCGTAACCAAATAAATTTGAGAGGATTGGCTAAACATGTAATGGGTATCCCTTCAAATATACTTGTAATAGAAACAATGAAGAATTCGCAGTATAATTATATTGTTGATGTCTTTGATATCCGCAGTATAATTTATTGTTGACGTTTTTGATAATAATAAAGGTACTATATAACAACTTTGGGCAATGGTCTCTTAATGATCTACTTAACAAACGCTGCGGCTATGGAACTTATCCTTTCTTGGAATCAATTGACTGGAAAAAGGAGGCGTATTGCTAACTCACCCATCATTTATTATATCTCTATAAACACGATTTTGTGAACCGTAAGCCACCAAAGTGTTATCTATTCAGGCAGAATCGTTGTTTGAAAAGTGAGGATACTACTGTTCGAAAGTATTTTCGTTCACGTAAAGGTATTTTATTCTCACAATTGCTTTGCGGTTATATCAGTATCCTGATTTAGGCTGAATGGTATCTTTTTTGAATGAAAATGGGTGAATTAAGTATCACAAACATTACATTGCGCCACATCGTATGTCACAGAAAATGAACAAACAATGCTTATTCCATTGTCAGTTGACAAGCGGGCCGACTAATTTGAAATGTTTCTGTCGACAATAAACTTATTACCAGACGGTTTTTTTAGAGTACTCAGTAAGAAAAAAGACAAATGATATTTATTGCACAATTTGGGCATCACGGGATCTAAAATTAATTATTTAAACTCTCATTTTCACTTCAGTTTGTGATCCGGCTAAACTAACACAATTATCACTTCGTATCCACATCACTTCGTATCCACATCACTTCGTATCCACATCATTTTAAAATCTTTTCCTCATGTCTGGCTTTAGCTTTGATCCTGTAGATTTAATTGATGAGTAAGTTATTTCAGTCTAAGAGGAGACGACGGTTTATACAAACAGTAATATAAATACTGTCATAATTATATACACAGAGTCTTTTCTAGCAAAAAACTATTATTTCATTTGTGCGAGTTAACCATAAAATCTATTGTTCGTCACTCATATGATTAGCACCTCAATCCGCAGGAGCTCATCAATAGTCCGTGTAACTGTTACTAATTTTATGGAATACGAGTCTGTGGAATTTCGACCAGAACCTAATCTCTGTATGATCCTCGATCTCGAGGATCAAGAAAAAACGGTTCTTTATACTGCAATCGCGGTTGGGCTCGGCGGAGAGCATTCGGTGAGTTTAGTATTTCTCGTATAAGACGATATCAAGACAAAATATTCATGATGCAAAACTTTATCTACAGTTATATTATCAGACGCCGATCTCGTACTATGTCAGGCGTGGCTCAAATCAAGCCGAAATAGAGATCGAGGTACAAGCCGCACCAAATAATAATAACATGATTTTTAAGCGTACAATTTATTGCAATAGCGAATTTTCTGATTGGTGCATTAATGGTATGAAAAGTTATAAATAACTTATAGCTGTCTTTGTTTTGTTTGCTGCGTTTGTGTTTGATCAATCGATAACGCTGTACTGTCACTTCTCTATAAAATAGGCGAGCCTGCCACAATTGAGCAGGTAGTGTTACAATTAGAGCCGCTCTACATCCAAGATGGCAATCTCCAGTAAGTGTCGTGATTCGATCATCATATTAAGTATACAATTAAACCAGCGATATCTAATCATAATGCTGTTGTTAGTCAATTCTTACCACAGCATCGGGTCAGACAATACTTGAACGATATTGAAGAACAAGTAAGAATGGCTGTAATCATGCCGTAAGTAAATTACGGGTCATACATTAGACTTAAAAGTGATTATGATAAGAAATAGTGCCCAGAACGTTTGGGAATTAGTGGAGATTGAGATTTATGCTACAATATCTGCAATAAACTAAACATGGGTTAATATGTGTATTATATCTAATCAATTAGCGTTGAGGATGACAGTTTAGATGAAGCGCTAGAGTACTTTGAATCCAGGTCCAGAGTAAGTTTGAGTATTGGGAGAAGACGCAGCTATTATAAAAAAGATGAGAAGTTAATCATTATTTCTGAATTTGACCTACTTCAGGAGGGTTGGCAATGAAATGTATAATAAAAGAAAACATGTGAATCCCACATTGCGTACTTAATCTGACTTCGTGTGGAACAATTACTGCAATAGTCACCGGAATAGTTAACAAGTCCGATTCCGCATTATAAAATTTCTGGCATCTTCTGTGGTAAAAAATACGGTTAATCCAAGATTGTTCAATGGTTATAAATTCATTAAGTGTTGTTTGACACGCCAGTTATAGACTGTTTACAATTCTGTTGATATCAAAAAGTAAATAAAAACACCATGTGTTGCATTAAAGTAGCAGCATCGGCACTGTTGCTCAATAAACTGAACTCTTGACGACTTCATTCGGGACAAATGTCCAATATCGAGGAATTTTCGTTATATTTAAACAAATTTACTAAGCAATAGTTGCGGAGATGTGAGAGGAGGGAATGAGGGGGGGGGGGGGGGGGGGGGAATGTAATTTTAAATCTCTTTTTTCAGGAATTTTTATACGTTTGTTCACCTCTTCTTTTTTTTTTATTTTTACCAATTTGTTTTAGATTCTCGT